TCTGGCGGCAGAAGCAATCAGTGGATCAAATGGGAAACATTTTTTGCAAGTACGAGCGGAAAATCTGCAAACATTTCCTGACCGTTTGAAAAGATTCCAGTGATGACCGCTGACTGAAAACCGAGCGGAAGCCATTTAAGAGTGGCTTACTCAGGGCTAACGCCAAATGCTGTGGTTTAAAACAGGTTGGCCTGCCGTCTGGGAATCAGAAACGAACTTCCTGACTGACATGAGCGGTACAACCGACTGACAACGAGAAGAAAGAAGTAATCAGATGATTTGGAAGCAAAAAGCCTTCAATGCAACAGGAAGCATACAAGGCGGCGGTTAAGGCAGTGGATAGGTGAAGGCGGATTCTGGAGAAAAGTTAGATGACATGTTGGAGTCGAATTTTCTGACCACAAAAAAGTATTCTGGCAGTTTAAGAGTCTTCAATGACAAATGTTAAACAACGATAATGATACACTTCAACGATGGAGAGCGTACTCGAGGAAACTCACAATCTTGAGCAAGTGCATGAAGACTCGCCTGAACTGCAGCAGGCAACGGATGTTCGTCTTTCAGAACACGAATTTACAGAAGCTGTAAAAAGTTCGAAAAGTGGCAAGGCTGCTGGAATCGATTAAATCTGCCGTGAGATGCTTACAGTTTTCGGCAAACAAAACACGTTCTGGCTAACAAATGTCCGCTAATTGGAACGGCCAGTGGCGTTCTGCATGAACCGTGTGACTACAGCAGAGAAGAATTTAAAAACTATGCTGTCTGCATTTAAATTTACTTCTTTCACGTACAAGCGGCTAAAATGGGCTTTCTGAGACAAACTGCTGAGCTTACGCGTCTTGACCTAGTCTGGAGTACAGAAATCTGAGAGAGCTTTGGTGTACAGCCGCTGCTTCTCCAGAATGAGAAGTCATAGCTACGATGGTCTGGAAACTTCTGGCAAATGCTTTCAGAAAGGAAGGCGAAGCAACTACTTGCCCAACCTACCGGCGAAGAAACCAGAGACGGACAAGAATAAACTGTGGCTACTGTATCGAAGGACTCTGCTCCATGATCGGAATATATTTTGTAAATGCTGAAACCCTGGTACAGGATCAGGAAGGTTATATGCACTGTCTGACGCGTCTGCCCCTGCAACCCGAAAATACAGGCGGCCATGGAAACTGACCGACTTATGGACGCAAATACACGTGTAAACAGCGCGTGGCGCAATTAAATCTTTACAAAGCCAGTTACCGCCAGTAATAAAGGAACGAGATGTCGATTGACATTTAAGAGTTAATAGTTAAATTATCCAGTAGAAATGTCACAAACATACGTAGGACCTTTAACAGAAACATAAACATCAGTTACGGAATGACACAGAAGACAGTTTTATTTAATCACAGACAGTAAACTTCAAAAAATTAGAATCATCCTTGATTCATTTTAAGAGTAGAAGCTGTACTATTAAACGTAAATAAATCACTATACAGTGTCATCCCGTAGTTGTAATTTGTGCTGTTTAATATGCATATTCGATACGACAAAAATGTCACAAATAATAAAATATATAGGATAGTAGCGAACGAAGTACATTTGTTACACTGATGGAGCAGCTTGCCCTACATTAAAAACTAAAAGTAATACATGGCTTAATTTAAGTACAGATGAATGAAGGTACGCAACTACGAATTTCACGCCTTAGAGGCAGCTGATCGTTTTAACATGTTGTACATTACAGCTAGCAAAATGAAATATTACAGATAAGAAAATCTAGTGTGAAATCTCTGTCAAATCAACCGCTAAGCGACTCCATGAAAAACATCTTTTATTCTTTACACTCTACAATTTGCTGATTTAAAATATTCCATAAAATTTGCGTTTCATAAAAAGTTCTCCACAGATCCGACCTTCTAAGCCTACGTAGTGAAAATCGAGCGAATAACGACCAACGTAAGGCACTGCATGTCAGGACATCATATATTGCAGTGAGGACCTGCTACAACCGTGTAACGGTCATTAGCGAAGTATCAATAACAGGATCAGGGACCGGCAGACCTCTCTACGAGTACAAAGTCAGTCTGTCTAAACGAAGGCGACGGACATTCTGACTAGAAACCTCCAAGGAATGGTCACAAACCTGTAGTAAAAATGGTAAAATTTTACTATAATTCACCCATATGTACGGAATATTGTCAATTATGTCAGTAAATGGAGAAAAATTGATCTCTTTCACGTTACTTAGATATTCAGGACCAGAGAATGCGGAGTAATATTATTGCCAGAATGACAAAATCTAGACAATCACTACTCATTGCTGTTTCTAGTACGGGCAAAATCAAGCAGGCTGTTGCTGGACGCTTCAGTGGAGAAAACGATGAGGCTATGGCTTCCAGATCAGTGATACTTTCGAACATCAAGCAGTGTGCAGACAGTTAGGCGGACAGTGAATCAGTCGGATAGTCAGTCACTGAATCAGCTAACAAGAAAGTCAGCCGATCAATCAGTCAACCTTTTGCAGAATAAAATTTGAAAATAAAAGCTGTCTCCTTATCCCCACAGCACCATTGCCGTTGTGCAGGTCGTTTATACACTTCGTATTAGCGTTGAAAGATCGTCGGAACTAGTCTGTTCAGATACTGAAGTTAACTTGAACTGGGTGACAAAAGTGTCAAAAAAGTGGAAATTACGCAGCGAAAACAGCTTTATATAAAATACCTTAACGTAGCCTCCGGAGCCGGCAGCTAGAACTTTACGCTGGCTGAATGCAAGACAATTTACTGGCACCGGCACTTTAATTCCTTGCACTTGCTTATACATTCTCAAATCCCAGATTTTCAACTGCTTTTCCATGCCTGATGTCGCCATATACCTGACAACAACAACAAGAAAGAATTAACGAACTCAGCGACAAAGTTACGACGCATACGTGCCAGTCGGGTCGACAGCAAGTCCTCTAACAGCCGTTGAGTGGCACAGCATACTAACCAACGGTTGTTCACTGTTAGGTGACCAGAGAGAGACAGTTCCTGAACAGGAAAAAAGAAACGAAAATGTATGAATAAATAAAGTGTCTACCACGTGGATGCCCACAATGTATGATGGCATTTGCCGGATTCTGACACATCACATCGAGCCGGTTTTTTCTTACGTAAGTGCTTTTAATCACTTTGCCAATGGAAACGTCAACCCAACTAAGGAATGACTTGGCATTCTAAAGCAAAAAAGTCAGCAAGCATGGAAGACAGATCTATCTGAGTGACGCCTACCGATGCAACCAACAGGAAGTGGTATGGCAGGAACTCGAGTCGCAATACGTTGTGCAACTGTTTGATGACGTGAACCTCAGTACCACGACTGTCATACACATGGGTCCAACGTTTCTGCGCCACCGCCATCAACATTTCGTTATGCAGCCACCTCACAACGGAAAACAGATGTTAAACAGGAATAAAAACATAACGATATCGTAAACTACTGAACGTCTCTAATCGATTCCATAACATTGATTTCAAAAGCCAGTTCTTTACTGAACCAATCAATTACCGCCAAGTGACCCATATGACCGCCGAGAAGAAGCTGACGACCATTTCTTGTATAGTCGACCCTGTACGGTCCAAATTTCGGCAAGATCAGTTCAAAATACTAAAAAAGCTAACTTAATAGCATGAATACCATTATCAATAGATCATGACTATAAGATATGGCAGACAGTATCTCGGTGGAAAAAGCGCTAGTTTTTGATAGGTATCACAGTTAAAGAAAAATCAGTCATCGCCCATTCTGAAGGTTACAATGAGCAGGAACAAGTTCATTCAGTAGCAACACAGCAGCCAGCAAATATTCAGTTCAAGTGTACTCTTTTTGGCGTCCATGAGTGCAAACAACAAGCATCTAGTTCCTCTACAGATAAGACAACCACAAATAACAAGTTAATAGAGGAAGCTTCAATTTAACAGAAGCATCAAATTCATGAAAATTTTCCACAATATTCGGCTTCTAACTGCAGTTAATCATGCCTTGCTTCCACTGTCCGCATTATATGAGTTTTCGAGTTATGAGTGAAAAAACTGATCCACCCATGACGCTGAAAGGTCACTCAATTTTGATCGGCATGTGGTTCTGACGGTGCCAGACATTGTTAACTGGACATTCAACAGTTTAACAGATGTAGCCGTAACTTATTGAGCAACAGATTTCCAAACAAATCAGTAGCATTATGAAACAATTTATAGACGAAACGGTCTGGAGCGGTGAAAAAGGAACAGAATCCAATGAGTGCCCCTTTAGAACAGATTTAA